ACCAGAAAAGACCCCAAATAGCCAAAGTAATGTTGAAAATGAAAACCAGAGCTGGAGGCATCATAGTCCCAGACTTAAAGCTGTATTACAAAGCTATAATCATCAAGACAGTATGGTACTGGCACAAAATCAGACATAGAGATCGTTGGAACAGAACACAAAACCCAGAAACGGACCCACAAATATATGGCCAACTAATCTTTGACAATGAAAGAGTATCCCATGGAAAAAAGACAGTCTCTTCAGCAAATGGTGTTGGGAAAACTGGACAGCAACATGCAGAAGAATGAACGTGGACCAGTTGCTTACACTATACACAAATAAACTCAAAATGGATGAAAGACCTAAATGTAAGACAAGAAACCATCAAAATCCTACAGGAGAAAACACGCAACCTATTTGACCTTGGCCACAGCAACTTCTTACTAGGTATGTCTCCAGAGGCAAGGGGAATTTTTGGGACCTTATCAAGAAAAAAAGCTTCTGCACAGTGAAGGAAACAATCAGCAAAACTAAAAGCAACCGATGGAATGGGAGAAGATATTTGCAAGTGACATCAGATAAAGGGTTAGTATCCAACATCTGTAAAGACCTTATCAAACTCAACAGTCAAAACCCAAATAATCCAGTGAATAAATGGGCAGAAGACATGAACAGGCACTTTTCCAATGAAGACATCCGGATGGATAACAGACACATGAAAAGATGCTCAACGTCACTCATCATCAGGGAAACAGAGACCAAAACCACAATGAGATACAGGTGTGAGGACACTTGTCAGAATGGCAAAAATTAACAACTCAGGAAACAATAGATGTTGGGAGGGATGCAGAGAAAGGGGAGCCCTTTCGTTGAGAATGAACACTGGTGCATGCATTCTGGAAAACAGTATGGAGGTTCCTCACAAAAATTTAAAATATAACTACTCTATGACCTAGCAGTTGCGCTATAAGGATTTTATCTAAAGGACACAAAAATGCTGATTCAAAGGGGCACATGTACCCCAATGTTTATAGCAGTGCTATCAACGATAGCCAAATTATGGAAAGAGCCCAAATGTCCATTGACTGATAAATGGATAAAGAAGATGTGTATATACAATGGAATATTACACGGCACTCAAAAAGAATGAAATCTTGCCATTTGCAACAACGTGGATGGAACTAGAGTGTCTAGTGCTAAGTGAAGTAAGTCAGAGACAGATAAATATATTTCACTCATATGTGGAATTTAAGAAACAAAACAGATGAACATGAACATATGGGAGGAAAAAATTAATAAGATAAAAACAGAGAGGGAGGCAACAATAAGAGACTCTTTTTTTAAAAGCGTATTTATTTTTTGAAAGGGAGGGAGGGAGGAAGGGAGAGAGACAGAGAAAGAGCAGGGGAGGGGCGGAGAGAGAGGGAGAGAGAGAGAATCCCAAACAGGCTCCAAGCTGTCAGCACAGAGCCTGAGGCACGTTCGAACTCACGAACTGTGAGATCATGACCTGAGTCAAAATCAAGAGTTGGATGCTTAACTGACCAAGCCACCCAGGTGCCCCAAGAGGCTCTTAAATACTGAGAACAAACTGGGGTTGCTGGAAGGGTGGGTGGGGGATTTATGGATGATAGGCATTAAGGAGCGCACTTGTTGGGACTGGCAATAGGTATTATACATAAGTGATGAATCACTAAATTCTACTCCCGAAACTAATACTACACTATATGCTAACTAACTTGAATTTAAATTAAAAAGAGAGAAGAAAAGAAAAATTCCCTGTAAACTCACATTAGCATCGTTCATGTAAAAAACCTGAAATGGGGCCCCTGGGTGGCTCGGTTGGTTAAGTGTCCAACTCTTGTTTTCTGCTCAGGTCATGATTTCATGGTTTGTGAGTTTGAGCCCCGTGTCAGGCCCTCTCTCTGCCCCTCCCCTACTCGTTCTCTCACTCTCTCAAAATAAATAAACTTCAAAAAAATTAAAAAATCGGAAATAAATGGTGATGAGAGCCTAAAACAAATAGGAAATACGATTGTGGAATATCTTTGGCTCTGGATTATCTGTAGTAATGGAATCACAGTTCCAAAAATGGGGGAAATAGTAAAGTCAGTATTAGCTCTTATGTGTCAGTCACTCCGCTGGTACTTTAAATGCATTTTCTCCTTCAATTCTGAACTCCGAGGGGCGTATTAATATTATCCATGTTTTATAGGTGAGAAAATTGAGTATTTATTTTTGAGAGAGAGGCAGAATGCAAGCGGGGGAGGGGCACCGAGAGGGGGACACAGAATCCAAAGCAGCTCCAGGCTCCGAACTGTCCGCACAGAGCTCCACATGGGGCTCAGACTCACAAACCACGAGATCACGGCCTGAGCTGAAGTCAGACACTTAAGGGACTGAGCCACCCAGGCGCCCCAGGAAATTGCAGGTTTTGGAGAAGTTAAATAACTTCTCTAGGTCAAAGAGCTGGAGAGTCTCAGAAACCTGATCAAACCCAGACCGATCTAACTTCAAAGCCCATGCTTTGAAAACATGGTTTTGTGTAGGTGGTGAGACAGGTCCCAGCTTTAGGACCTCAGCTATATGCTGCTGATTAGATATGTGACCTGGGCAGGTTATACAGTCTCTCTGAGGCTTCATCTTCCTCATCTGTCAGATGGGGTTAATGAAACCTTTCTCGAAGTGTTTTTAAGATTAGAAATAGTTGGGGCGCCTGGGTGGCTCAGTCGGTTAAGCGTCCGACTTCAGCTCAGGTCACCATCTCGCGGTCCGTGAGTTCGAGCCCCGCGTCAGGCTCTGGGCTGATGGTTCAGAGCCTGGAGCCTGTTTCCGATTCTGTGTCTCCCTCTCTCTCTGCCCCTCCCCCGTTCATGCTCTGTCTCTCTCTGTCCCAAAAATAAATAAACGTTGAAAAAAAAAATTTTAAAAAAAAGATTAGAAATAGTATTCTTTTCCCTGAAAGATACTCAGTGCGTGCACTAGGTCATTATTGTATTTGTAACCTTTAACTCGTTGGGTCTTTCTCCTGTCAGCACCTGCATGTACCACCCACAAAGATGCTACCGAATGGGCCATCACCACAATTGGAAGGACCATCCATTTCTAAAATGAGTAGGGAGGTTTGCTCCGTGAGCAGGGCAAAGATCCCTGCCTCCAGACATTACCAGACCCTGGAGCCTGATGGGGTAATGGTGAGAACTAAGGACATTAAAAGCTGGGTGTAATTTCAATAAGTAGAAAGGAGAGGGTTTTGCATTGAACAGAGCTGAGGGAGAAAGCGTGTTACCTGTTCCTGGGATGAGAATAGACAAGTTTGGTTCACTCCTGTAGGAGATACAGTTGTGGGGTACTGGCAGAAAAGGTCAGAGAAGATGCATTAGGGCCAGATGATAGAGAGGCTTCAGTGTCCTGCTTAAGAGTTTGACTCTTAAAAATTTTAAAAATCGGAATTGGCTATAGGATTGAGAAATTAAATTTCTCAAAAAGAGCGATTTTGCACCCTACCACATTAGGATAGCCCGAAGTGCCAAATCAAAATACACCGTTGCTTATTAACTGAGCACACAATAAGTAGGTGATGGAATAGTTACAGTTAACCTGGTTTGCTTATGAAGTCCTGGTTATCCTGTTCACACAGGCTTAAACAAGCTTAATTATGAAGAATTCATAGGAGCCATAATTAATTAAGCCATAATTAAGCCAAAATATACTTAACTATGAGTGGCATAAATTTTTATATTCATCGGGAAACAAACGATTTCCCATGACGCCCGACGTATAAGCGCATGAAGTTTTAAGCCAGCTTTTTACCTCCATTTACAGCTATACCTGAGAGAGATGTGGGTTCGGCTCCAGATCGCCACAAACACCACAATGAAGCAAGTCAAATAACTTTTTTGGTTTCCCAGTGTGTATACAAGTTATGTTTACACTAGAGTGTAGTCTATTAAATGTGCAATAGCATGTCTAAACAAAGCAACGTACATACCTTAATTTAAAAATACTTGATTGCTATACAAATGCTAACCATCATCTGAGCTTTCAAGTGAGTCATAATCTTTTTGCTGGTGGACAGTCCTGACTCCATGCTGATGGCTGCTGACTGATCAGGAGGCTGCTGATGGCTCGGGTGGCTCTGGCACCCAAAATGGGGGCGCCTGGGTGACTCAGTCAGTTGAGCACCTGACTTCAGCTCAGGTCATGATCTCACGGTTCGTGAATTCAAGCCCCGCATCAGGCTCTGCACAGACAGCACAGAGCCCACTTCAGATCTTCTGCCCCCCCCCCCCCCCCCCCGCCTCTCTCAAAAATAAACATTTAAAGCGTCTTTTAAAAAGACAATGAAGTTTGCCACATTGACTCCCTTCCATGAACAATTTCTCCGTAGCATGTGCTGCCGTGCGGTAGCCTTTTACCCCCAGTAGAACTTCTTTCAAAATCGGAGTTCATCCCTTCACACCCTGCGGCTGCTCTGTCAACTAAGTGTACCTCGCGTTCTAAATCCTATGTTGTCATTTCAACAGTCTTCCCGGCATCTTCACCAGGAGTGGATTCCATCTCAAGAAACCACTTTCTGTGCTCATCCGTAAGAGGCAACCCCTCATCCGTTCAAATTTGATCGTGAGCTTGCAGCAATTCGGGCACATCTTCAGGCTCCACGTCTGATTCTAGCTCTTTTGCTATTTCCACCACAGCTGCACGCACTTACTTCCTCCACGGAAGTCCTGAACCTTCAACGTGTAAAAAACTCAGTATCTGCCCTGTGCAATAAAGCAAGGTATGCCTGTGTTGTGCTATTCCACTTCTACCACTGCATACACAATTTAAAACATAAATAAAACCAACTGGAAAAACAAACCAATTAAAAGCAATTCTGTTTCCTTTGTTATCCTTCACAGGCTTCGGCTGCATAACTAATATGTTATAACTGGAATCCCTGGCCCGGGTCTCATGCACCTTTCTTGAGTAGGTGGAATCCATCAGAGATAAAGCATTAAGTAAATGCAAACAAATTATAAACTCTCTTTAATCCATTTTAATCTGCTGCCTTTGCCTTGTCTCCAATATTCTTATCCTTGGCCACTCCCCTAATTTAGTTTTCATACTGAAATTGTACAGTATCCCTAATCCTGTAGTAAATCAGTGCTTTTATCATCTGTGTGATCTGATTTTTCTCACCATGACCAAAAGTCAAAGGGGAGTGCTTCCAAAGCCTACCTAGAAATACCATATTGCCAAAACTCAATTGTACTCATAATAGAAAAGAGAGGCAAAAAAAAAAAAAAAAAAAAAAAATCTGTATTTATTGTATTTGGGGGGAGTTAGTTATGTCACTGCAACATGTTTTCATTAGCATTGTGCCTGTTTTGATATACTTGTCCACTAAAGGAATGTAAAAATAGTTATTAATTTTGGCACTGAAAAAGTATCATCTTAGTAAAATAAAAATTTAGGCTGGTATGATTGTTATACATAGCAGTCGTTCTTTACATTTAAAGAAAAAAATTCCAGTACAAGCTTCAATCACTGTTATGATATAGTCTACATTTTACAATAGAGTTATTTGAGAAAAAAAAAACATTAAAATCACACACATACACACACTTTTAGACAGCTTTTTAAAAAGTGCTCTTGATCTAAATTCTATTTCTCTCTTCCTGCAGAGTTCTGTAGAGTGACATGCTGGTTGGTTGTGTCAATGTTGGTCCCTGGAATAAGATTATCATCTTCTCCTTCAATTAAAGAATCCCACTGATCGAAATCTTTCTGCAGTCCTGGAAGAGAAAAATGTTAACAAGAATATGAAGCTTTGGAGAGTACGAGACAGCTCAGTGCCTCTAGGTGGCAGGACAGCCTCACAAATTACACCACAAACGGCCACCAGTCTGCACAGAAAGACGACATGATTCCCTTTAACAAGCTAGACTTCCAGGGCGCCTGGGTGGCTCAGTCCCTTAAGTGTCTGGCTTCAGCTCAGGTCACGGTCCCACGGTTTGTGGGTTTGAGCCCCACGTTGAGCTCTGTGCTGACAGCTCAGAGCCTGGAGCCTGCTTCAGATTCTCTTTCTCTCTCTCTGCCTGTCCCCTGCTCATGCTCTGCCTCAAAGATAAATTAACAGGTAGACTTCCTATCTGTGATATGTAGCATGAGAAGCAGCAAAACTCAATCTCTCAAGTTTCTTTCTTCAAACTGATTTACTGTTCTGGGACATTGTAAACCAACTGGAGACAGTTAAAATGGGACTCACACTGCAATAAAACTGTTTTGTCTTAAGAAGCACCTGGTTTGTGTCATGAAACACTCTTAGTTTCTTACCTAAATGCTTTTGTAAGAATGCTAATGAAGCTTTGTTGCTAAGATCAATTGCTACATTTGAATCGATATCTCCTTTTAAAGTGAACATGTATCCAATTATTTTGCCAGTTGCAAAGGTGAAATCCACAAAATTCTGATGCACTGAACCCCTGAAAGAGAAATGAGAGGTTTATAAATCACATTGTTTGACAGAATTATTTTGGTACTTAGGGTGCAGGAAGGATAGTGGTCAACGTAGCCTATTGAGTGAAAACTGAGGAAATAAACTTGTAGATTTGATCTCTGTAGATGTGTTTGTGGGTCACAGGCTGTGCATCTTAGTATCTATACATCCTCCCCTCTAGATAAACAAAGATTCCTGAGTTCCTTGGCATCTTGGTTTTAGAAGAAATGATTCCAGCTTTTCGGTGGGCTAGAATAGTCCCAATTTGAGCTGACAAAATGTGTTACGTGTTGCAGGGACTGTATACTCAGAGCCAGAAGCCTTTACCAACACTGTTTAACTTCGTATCTATGTGATGCTATTCAAAACACACTGCACCTAAACCTTGGATTAAATATTTGGGGGGGGGAACCTCTTTTCCTTGTATTATTTAAGCTGTAAACACCTTACAGATATCATTTACACTGCTCTTTAAATCTACCTAACATCAAGTAAATGGCCTTTTTTGGTGATCACTTTCCACTGCCTGTAAGACATTTGACACTTTCTTGCCGGTTTTTTTTTTTTTCCTTTTGTTTCTTTGATCTCCTTTCCCTTGTTTGTACCTTCCCTTCTTCCCCTAACAACTCTGTTCTCTTCACATACATATAGACATTCCTCGATATTCTGCTCTCAGACCACTTCTTCCCCTACTTGGTGGCTCTTATCTACTTGGTGGTCTTATCTACTCCCAAGGTTTCAGGTGTAAGACACAAATTCTGTCCTGCCCGGTTTGTGGCCAGACATCTCTACGCTGGTTTCCCCGTCCCAAGCTAAGAAATTCCGAGATGAAAACATATGTCTCCAGCCCCGAATGGTGCAACTCTTCCTCTTCACTTTGCTGCTGCTTCTAAGCAAACACCACTCTTTCAGTTATCTGTACTCAAACCAGAGCCACCTGCCTCCTGCTCCTTCTTCCCTGCTTCCAAACACAACGTGAGTGTCAGAAGGTAGAACCGGGTCATGAGAGGGCTGGGAGTAGAAGGCTGGATGCTACCAACAGTGGAGGAATGGCCTCAGGAGAAGGAGAGGGTCGGGGAGAAAGGGAGGGTGCAGTCTAGATGGAGGGAGGAGCAGGAAAGAGTAGGGGTGTGGTAACCAGGGGAGGAGAAACAGGGGGAGTCCACAGTGTCTAACGGATGCAGAGAGCAAGCCTGAGGCTGCGAATAGGCTGCTGGGCCTTTTATGTCCTCCACAGGACGCATTTCGGTACATTGGTGGCGTTCAGGAAGCTGGTCCACAGGAGTCAAAGTGGAAATGGAAGTCAGGATGAGCTCTTAAGTATGAGCTATTCTTTCCAGGCTCCTCACAGAAAAAGGATGGAAAAGGTAAAGAGCCTAGTAAGGAAGTGGGGTTGAGGGAGGCTAGGCGTTCTGCATTACCTCTGTTTTAGAATTAGACTTATACATACAAATATTGAAGTCCTTAACTAACTTGAAGCTAAATTGAGGTCCTTAACTAAACCACCTTATTAGACCCTCCTCACTATCTGTTTAATGTCTCTTGATCCTTCAAGGCCAATTCTATTCCCGTGTCTTCCAAGGTGTCTTCTGACCACATCAGATAAAAAAGACTCCATTCTCCGACCCTATCACAGCGTTTATCACCTATGCTCTTTGTGTTTCCTTCCTGCCACCACTTGTCTTCTTTGAAATAAACCATGTTTCAGATAGAAGAGGAATGCCCCCTACCTTATAACATCACATTGTGAGTTCAGAACTCTTTTGGGATTTCTTTTTCACATTCATGATATACGCGTATCACGGATGCTCAAGGGGGTCCCATTATAGCTTTTGGGAATTTCAAAATTCTTTCCGAACAGGTAAACACATTGCCGATCTCAACAGATGCTCTGACTTTTTTTCAAAAGAGTTCCCAGCCTGGCTTCACGATACAATACCTCTCCCTACCCTCGCCCCCCAAATGCATAAGCCTGTTCTTGTGTTTACATAAAAATAGCATGTATCCTAATGCAAATTTTAATGATCAATATGTGAATGACATATGTTAACACTACTCAGAACATTTGCATTTTAAAGAGTAAACACAAAGGCTCTTAGACCCTGAAAGTATCTAATATTCTCCCTTATTGAAAGTCTAAACAGTGAATTTAACAACTCTGGGACGGCTACCAAATGGTACCTTGGGATGCTTGTCCAAGTTTCAAGTTTCTTTTCAGAGGATGAAATAAATCACTAATACTTACCTGATTGTAATCATTTTTCTTTCTTTGTCAGGTGAGTAGCATTTTTTCATTTTTATGATATTAGCAGGATATTGGAACCGTTCCGAGTTGATAAAAAAGAGGGGCTGAGGAATTCTGGAATATACTTCGTCACCCAAGGGAAGCATCCATGCATCCAGGGCAATACCACACCTGCAGGTGTTTGTAGACAATGATAAAAGAAAGCTGGTTACACGCTGGCCGACATACAGCGTTCCTGATGATGCCAGGATTAATGGACACGCACCACACTGGTTCATTACAGGTTAATCTCACTGGTACTATACTTCAGTGTGGGAAGGGAATATGATTAGCTTCATAAGGCGGTCGACTTGGCATCACATAATCATTTTCTTTAGGAGACATTTAGGAATCGTGACCTTTAGAACGATATAATATGCTTAAAATGTTTTCATTTTTGTTACGGTCTTCAAAATACATTCTCGAACAAGCAACGATTTCTTCAGAACGGTAGGGTGTCTGAAGAAATACAATACATGCACTATTGCCCCCCGTTTCCAGCACGTACGGCCAGTCTGTGGTTGATTTATTATGCCTTTTTCAGAGCAACCGTTGGACCACTTGCTTTGAGGTACTACACCTGAAAAAGTGGGGCTTGAAGAAAAACATAGGGGGCGTATCATTCGAAAATGTAACTTTCTTTTTAAAAGTATGTTTATCCTGTTTCTGGACCTTTTGGACACTCTGTTTTATGTGCTAAATGGGCAAACTAAGATAATTCCCTTAAATGGAAACCGATTTTAAGGAAGAAATGTGAGATGAAGTTTCAGAGATGATCCTACCCACTTTCTTTTTTAAATTTTTTTTCCCCAACGTTTATTTATTTTTGGGACAGAGAGAGACAGAGCATGAACGGGGGAGGGGCAGAGAGAGAGGGAGACACAGAATCAGAAACAGGCTCCAGGCTCTGAGCCGTCAGCCCAGAGCCCGACGCGGGGCTCGAACTCACGGACCGCGAGATCGTGACCTGGCTGAAGTCGGATGCTTAACCGACTGCACCACCCAGGCGCCCCGATCCTACCCACTTTCTAACTGGTTGGCTCTACATGATCTCATTAGTCTGTGATGACATAGTTCAAGAAAGAAAGTATTTTTTTCTGGGGTCTGGTCCTGACTGTCACCCAAGTTAAGTGTAATTTAAGACCTCTGTCCATCTTAAGGATGGGAAAAAAAAATTAAAAATGCCCTGCATATTGAGGAAGTCTAGAAATACTACAAGACGCATTACTGGCATCACAATCATATGTCATATATGAAATGTATACGGGGGCACCTGGGTGCTCAGTCGGTTGGGCATCCGACTTCGACTCAGGTCATGATCTCGCGGTCTGTGGGTGCGATCCCCACGTCAGGCTCTGTGCTGACAGCTCAGAGCTGGAACCTGCCTCAGATTCTGTGTCTCCCTCTCTCTCTGCCCCTCCCCCACTCACGCTCTGTCTCTCTCTCCCCAAAATAAACACTAAAAAATAATAATAAAATAAAATGATGTATAAAGATAAATTTCCAAGTGAAAATGTTAAGTCCTTAAGCAGATAAATAAGAATGATGAAGAAAAATATATAGGAATGGGGAGATCTTATGATAGCAAGAGAAGTAGATTATTTCTGTCTAGGAAAATTCATATAGAGTACTTATGGAGGCAAAAGAACAGACTTATAAGCCCTGAAGGGTTCCTTCCTCATTAAGAATTTGAAAAATACTCTATCTCACATAGGTTATCACTTCCTCTCTTCCAATAGCTTACTATTTTCTCTCTTTGCCTCCTCTTACCTGAATCTCTGGTCTTCACTAAGAGTCTGAATAACTGTGGCTCCACCAAAAGAATGTCCAATTACTGCTAATTTATTCCTGTCAATAGAGTCCTATATGAAAAAGCATGATATATATTCATAACTATCTCACAGGTTGTTAGAATAGACTAAATTAGTTTTTAAATTATAAAATTATTAATAATTTCATGGGCATGGTTAAGTACCTTGATTTCTTATAAAAGAAATACATACATACACACAAATACACACATATACATACACGTGTATGTACACATATATGTATATACGTATACACAAATAACACACACACACATGCACACACATTGAGCATTCATAGAAGTTCAGAAGTGAACTTAATGATCTTCCTAGGCACCCACACTTGCAACACCAGCATCATTGCTGACTTCTGCCTCTCCCTCCATCCACATTTAATTAGTTTGTTCATTTCATGAGTATCTATTGAACACCTGCTCTGTGCCAGGCACCGTAGTTCATTTTCAATGAGCTCCCAGTCTACCAGTGAAGAAAGAGACATGGACACGTGATGCAAATACAACAGGGTGGTGCCAAGGAGCTAGGAGGGTGATAGATATTTCGCCAGTCCAGGGCGGGGGTGACAATGGGGTCCAAGAAAGCTTCTCGGAGGAGGTGATGCCTGACTTGAGATGAAGATTAAGCAGGACTCAGGGAGAAGAATGTGTCAGGCCAAGGGCGAGACAGGAGAGGGAGTAGACGGTCGAGGGACAAGAAACTCTTCACTGTGTCAGGAGAACAGACGATCATCTTCTACCCAGACTGAAGCCCTTCTACCTAGTCCCCTCTACTCCCTGTCCTCCGTCCTCCATACACACTCTTGGGTCTTTGTGCATGCCCTCCACTTTGATACTCTTCCACCTCCTGTCCATATTCTGCTGAAAACTTTTGGCCACCATTTCAGGATCACGCTCAACAATATGCAGGAGCCATCCGAGAAATGACGACACTTCTGCTGGAGCTCTTGAGTTGAACCACAGAAACGGCTGCTTCTGTAGCTCAAAGGTGACTGTGGGCAATCTCATCTACAGTTCAGCCTAGTTCATTCCTCATCACTATAATACTTCACATACACTTTTTTTTTTTTTAATTTGTAGCCTTTTGTCACACGGTTCCATGCATTACAGCAGAAAAGCAGATGATAAGGAACAATAAAGAACTACAGGACAACGGAAATGACTTTTTTCAAGCTCACCTTCAGTTGTTCCACATCAAACTCTACATCTAATGCATTCTTCACTGGCCTTCCACGATCAATGTCCAGAATCAAATCGAGAGCCTGGGAACACTCCTTTGCCCTTTGGCGCACCTAGTGTGATTATTAGAACAAGGAAATGACCAGTAAAGAAGCTGCGATACTTATTTTAAAGTGTGTGTACGAGTTGCATGTGGGAAAGACGATTGATTGCTTATAAACTACAAATGTCTCAGTGATTAGTGACTGGAACACAACCTAGTGTAAGGACACAGGCTTTAGCCCTGCAGGTAGTTACAGCTGAGTCCAGATCCTGTCTCTGCTGCTTCCCCACGGTGTGACTTCAGACGGTTTCCTTAACTTCCGCAGCTCCCATTTGTTGTGTAATAATGCCTACCTCAGTGAAATGTGGGTGGGGTTAGATGCAATAACATATGGAAAACGCCCATTGTAGTAAAGCTTGGCACAAAGGTGGAAGCCAATGTGCCCTCTATCACTTATCTTCCAGACTCCCCCGTGAGCCAAATACGGTTATTATTCACTACTTTGCAACAGGTAAAACATAGAAGCAAAATAGAGTAAGTCGCTTGATCGAGATCATCCCACTAGGAAGCGAGGGCATCAGGATTCAAACATAGAAATTTGGATTCTAAGGCCTGGACTCTTAATACTGTCCTATACTGCTTCTCCAAAAAGTAGTGCTTTTAATATTGCCTTGGCTGCGAGGGTATTTATGGATTCCTTTTCTAGCACCTCTGAGATTCTAAAATTAGAAGTTCTTTTTTTTTTTTTTTTTAATTTTAACGTTTATTTATTTTTGAGACAGAGAGAGACAAAGCATGAACGGGGGAGGGTCAGAGAGAGAGGGAGGCACAGAATCCGAAGCAAGAGCTGTCAGCACAGAGCCCGACGCGGGGCTCGAACTCACGGACTGTGAGATCATGACCTGAGCCGAAGTCGGACGCTCAACCGACTGAGCCAGCCAGGCGCCCCTAAAATTAGAAGTTCTGATGCCAATGATTTCTGAATATCTACTGTCATCTCTCAAGATTTTTATGCTGGTCTTTTGTTTTTACCATGATCCAGACTTTTCATCAAGGGAGCTGTATCACTCTGAAGATCTTCCGACAGGCCTTTTGGAAATGGGAAATGGGAGAGCTCGGAGCAGACCTTACCATGTGCAAATTAAATCAGCAAGCATCATCATCGTGCATACGATTTTTAGTCACCACGCCTCCTCCTGCTGCTGCAACGTACCTGCTCATTTCGTAGAGGCACCTCCTGGTCCCCTGGTTTTAGGGTTTTAAGATAGAGCCAAGACTTGTTCCCTATTTCTACAGCAGACTGGTCCCTGAAATAGTAAGTCGCAGACGCAGATCCGTCTCTACAACACAAACAAATCAATTACTTACATTCGCTCTTCCTCATCCCCATCCCGCACTTCACTCTGATCTTTCCGACTTCCCTTTCTTCCCTTTCCTTTGTTTTAAAACCGTTCTCACTCGTCTGTGGACTGTGAGGAACTTAACAGAAGACCGTGGGGGAAGGGAAGGGGAAAAAAAATAGTCACAAACAGAGAGGGAGGCAAACCAGAAGAGACTCTGAAATACAGAGAACAAACTGAGGGTTGCAGGGGGAGGGGCGGAGGAGAGGGGCAAAATGGGTGATGGGCACTGATGAGGGCACTCGCTGGGATGAGCACTGGGTGTTGTAAGTAAGGGATGAATCACGGGAATCTACTCCCGAAGCCAAGAGCACACTGTGTGATGGCTAACTTGACAATAAATTGTATTTTAAAAATAAATAAATGAAAATAAAAATAAAACCAAAGAGGCCCCCAAGGGAGTCCTCAGAAAGAGCCATCGCTGCAGGTCAAGTCAACCCGTCCTATCGTCATTGTTCTAGGAGGCCCCCTCGCAAACTCATGCGTGGAATCCAATCCCAGTGCTGCCATTTTTTCACTGTGTGATTTACAGCAAGTTACTCAACCTTTCCCAGCTTCATTTTTCCTCCTCCTTAAAAGAGTGACAACAGTAACCATTTCAGAGGGTTGTTCCAAAGATTAAATGATATATGAACATGGCACACAATGACAACTCTAGAAATGCTAGCTGGTTTTCAACTCTTGACAATTTAACTCAGTCCCCTTTTCCCCCCTCATCTAGTAACCATAGTTGACAATTTCATTGATTTCTTTTTATAAATCTTCTTAGAAGTTAGAGCCCAGGTGACATACCTGTGTTCTACAGCAGCAACTATGAACCCATGAGATGCAAGATCAATGCCAACAGCAGAATAAATTGTCCTTCAAAACAAAACAAACAAACAAACAAACAAACAGGAAGCACTGAAATAGCTGTCATGCAAAGGCGGGGTCCACTAACGAGCCTCGGAATGTGGAAGCCATCACACCCCTGTGGTAGTGCCCAGGGGTACACCAGAGAGCTGTGGTTCTCAAAGGGGGCACACTTCTGCCTCTCGGGGGATACCTGACAATGTCTGGAGGTAACTTCATTATCATGACCGGGCAGAGGGTGCTGTTGGCATCCAGTGGGTAGAGGGATGTTGTTAAAAATCCTACAGTGCACAGGGCTACCCTCCACGATAAGAAATTCTGAGAAATGTCAGTAGTCCTGAGGTTGAGAAACCGTGATGCAGTGATTCTAAATATTGCCTTTGAGAGCGCTGGATTTTAATCTTGGTCCTACCACTGACCAAGTATATAACTTTAGGCAATTGCATGACCAGATCTTTGTCTGCACCTGTAAAATGGGACTTTATAAAGCCTTTGCTTTAGAACAGTTAGAAGGTTTTGCTAAGACAGCGTATGTAGGAAGGCAGTGCAGTGTGGTGCTGAAGAGAACACGACCTGCTGTCTGACCACTACATTTGAATCTACCACTGCTTTGGATAAGTCACTTATCTGTCCTCTGCAACACTATGATAACTGGTGGGATTCTTGTAAGGATTAAGTACATTAATATGTTTTCAGTGCTTATAACCACATCTAAAACAGGGGAAAGGCTGAACACGTGTCAACTGTTATTTATTTAAACGACTGGAAACAATCATGTGCTAAGTAAGCTGCATTGACCCCTTCCAGTTCCTCATTCTGGACGATCTTCTCGCGTCATGCATTCAATAGGAAATGGCAATAGAGAACCAAAGAGAGGTAGTGGGAACGATGTCCTCTATTGTTGAAGATATGCAATCTACCCAGGAAGGGGAAATGGGTCTAGTACAGGGATCAGCAAACATCTTCTGTAAAAGGCCAGAGTGTAAATATTCCCAGCTTAGTGGGCAATACAATATCTGTCACAGCTGCTCAACTCTGCTGTCGTAGCACAAAAGTCGCCGCAGACAATGCGAAAGACGAATGAGTGTGGATGTGTTTCAGTAAAGCTTTATTTATAGAACTGAGCAGCAGGCTAGAGTTGGTCCTCAGATTCTAATGTGCCAACCACTGGTCTGGTAGAAATCAAAGAAATGGCTCCAATTGAAGTACCGACGATAACTTCTTATTGCAGAAGCTACCCAACTTCTGGCCAACTAAAAGTCACCTTTAATTTTCTGAAAGTCTTATAATCCTCTGAGGTAGAAAGAAAGGTAGGCAGTTGAGAAAACAGAGGAGGCGTGGGTGTGGCGGTCATGAAAACGTGCCACTCTGAGATCATGCCACAGAGAGCAGAGTTGACTAAAGACCCCACTGAGCCCCTTCCCCTTTGGATCCACCACCACCAGCTAAGCTTCCTGTGGGCTGTGCCCAGTGACTGGGCATGGCACGGGTAGCAATGGAGACCCATTCCTGTGAGATGCGAGGCTCCTTTGATGAGCAACTTCGAGTTAAGCACTCTCTCATTTGGCCTGGTCCGGTCTCTGCTAGAACTGTGCTGTAATCTGGGATTCTCCATACCCAATCTCTCCATTCCCCATCTCCTTCCCAAGTGTCCAACCTGCATCATGATCTGAAGATTCTGTCTTTTCCTCTCTGTTCCCTCTATCCTTCATGGGCATTTCTCTCCATAAATGTCTTTTATAGCCAATCCAATCTTGGTGCACGCTTCTCAGAAGACCTGAGCTAATCCAGGGGATGGTTGTGAGAGTGTATTGTACTATAGAAGGGTGACAGCCCCAAATGCCACCTCTTCTGTCCTCATCATGAGGCTAGTCCCCATGAGCTGGAAGAAGAGAACAAACTACTTGACCAGATAGGGCTGGACTGATCAACAGACCATGGTCAACATTTGAGGAACCCCAATTCCTCCAAGACGGGGGTGACCATGATACTCCAAACTCTGCTCTTCTTTTTGCGAGGGGAGGGCAGGGAATGCATTGCCATTGGACCTTAGGGGTTAAAAGTTTTCCTCTCACACGTTACCGGAATGCTCCAAGACCATGAGAAAAAACTATTAGTGGGTATTTTTCACCAGTCCTCAGAGGAGAGTTCCAGTTTGCAGGAGTTGTCATTGAACCTAGACGACAATGAGAGATTATAATTAGTGTTTGCTCCGACTTGAAGGTTGCCGCCTAATTTAATTTACATCTTCTTAGTAGAAATCCTAGCTCATGGAATTTATACTTATGTTTTTATGTACTAATAGTAAATTCATTAAAAAGTCTGCTGCTAGATACTTAACACCCAAAGACCTGAAGCATGTAGTTTTTCCTCAGACGGTAAAATCATGAATTATCAGTTTTCACTGCCAGCTCTGAACTGAGGGTGAGACACTTTACCCCTTACAGGTGTATTCAGAAGGCTGTTCCTGAGCACCAACCCCGGGTCTTGGTGAAACTTCAAAGGGAATATTCTGAAACCAAACTACCGAATAAACCTCAGGAGGGTTACCCTGAGAACCAGAATCTTCAAATCTCCTTTCATTCCATGCTAATTTGGTAATGATCGAGACAGACCGCTGACTTCATACTCGGAGGTGCCTTTGGGTGCAGCTCCACCACTTACTATTGACCTTGAGCAAGTAAGGAGAATTCTCCGAGTCTCCGATTCCTCTTTTGCACAATGGAGGAAATGATACCCTGATAGGGCTTTTGTGAGAATGTTATCTAAGTAGGCAACATATGTAAAGCGCCTATCTCGTGCCGTAAGAAGGGGCTCACAACGTGGAAGGCACTGTCTTCCCTCGTTTCACTTCCCCATTGCTATTGTCATTATCACCATGAGTTATTTGTGTTTCATTTTCTCATTCATAAAATGGAGAGGCAGTCATGAAGCTTGAACGCGATGATTGCCGTGGAAGTGATCTGTTAACTTATTCGGCAACACAAAGAGGTGTTAGTTACGGTTCCATCATTTCTGTTATCAGGTGGTTTTTAGGAAAACTCCAAGGAGATGTTTCAAAGAATGCCAAAAGCGGCAGGTAGTTTTGAGAGGGAAATTTGAAGATGTAGTCGACACCGGCCCAACAGTAGTGTCTGGTCAAACAGATAGGGAAGGAAACGTCTATATTAGTTATAAGTAGACGAATGAAGTGGGGAATGCACATCAGATTGTCTTGGTGAGGGAGGCTGGTCCCTTGGCAGGTAGGAGATGGGAATGACAGCGGAGTCTCATCATTTATGACGGGTGAGAAATTAGTTTTCACTTTCGCACAAAGCATACAAAAGGGAAGTGGGCACTTACCAGATTATTGCTTCCCTGCAGTATATGAGCAGGAATATCAAAGAATATCTGCCACAGGCAGATATTACAGCCGTCTTAAGTCTGGCACTTTCCCTACCTCCATATACCCCGATATATGCAAAACGAACAAAACGAGAACCCCTGCTTCTCTGACAGTTGCCTGGGCTTTTAAGAAGCAATTTGTCGGGGCGCCTGGGTGGCGCAGTCGGTTAAGCGTCCGACTTCAGCCAGGTCACGATCTCGCGGTCCGTGAGTTCGAGCCCCGCGTCGGGCTCTGGGCTGATGGCTCGGAGCCTGGAGCCTGTTTCCGATCCTGTGCCTCCCTCTCTCTCTGCCCCTCCCCCGTTCATGCTGTGTCTCTCTCTGTCTCAAAAATAAATAAAACGTAAAAAAAAAAAAAAAAAAAAAAAGAAGCAATTTGTCATCTTAGAAGTTTAGACTGGAGAAAATCTACTTTGATCTTTGCCAGAAACTCCTGCTGTTTTCAAGGTTTTCTTATATTCTAGAGCCTACCAAAGCAGGATCAACAGAAATCTTACCAAAAAAGAAGCTCAGTATTTTGCCCATAAGCCAGTGTGTTCCAAGAAATTTACTAAGACCAAAAAAATATTCTTTGTTTGGGATCCAAAGGGTGTCAGAGTGGTCATCCTCTTGGGATGGATAATACAAACGCAAGAAGGTGCCCTGGAGAGGAAAAGAAATCAATGTACTTTTAGTGAAGTTGCTTCTCCATTATGTCCCAACAGCTATTTGGCATATTTAATTAGAGGGGAAACCTCGGTTGTTCACAAGGAGGTCCAGAGAGAACTTTTTAAGCTGCTGTGGTGCCTGAATACAGTAGAAAGAGAAGGAGAAACATGTTTTCTGAGTGAAAAGAAAGCATGAGCAGGCTGGTTTCAACCATTAAGGAAGGGGAAAATAGAGCTTATAGATAAATAAATCAGATGATAGAAACAAATCTGGGAAAGACTTACGTAGCAAAAGGCTTCTCATGCAACAACATAAATAACAACACGAGTCATTCTCAGGTGAGGGCAAGAGCAAGTTTCAAAACCTTCTAGGGGACCACAGGAACAGTCAATGTCAGAACATAAAGATTAGTGCTATTAATCAAAGCATTACCTTATTACTGTAATCAAACATCAAGTCTGTGCAACCGACAGAATAAGAGCCATTTCCTTTGGGAATTTTAGTTTGGCCTAAGCTTGCAGCAGCCATCAGAGCTTGTATTTTATTGACCCATGCTGAAGAAAAAAAAAAAAAAAGTGAATATTATCTCACTGTCATCCATTACACCCCAGACTTTATCATGCAAAAGGAAATTCCAAGGGAATTAAGTTACACCCCTTCGTTTTTGGCCTCCTTCATTTCTTTACCTAACTAGTAAAATATGCAAATAATTATTAAAGGCCTGATATAAGCAAAGTATTGTGGGGGAATAAAGATAGAGGTAGACATTTCTTAAGATGCTTAAGACCATCACCTCCTAACACTTACAGCCTTGCCCTTAGCCTCTGCTCTGATCCAGATCATGTTAAAAACCCCTTCCCCCGACTGTCTTTCCCAAACAGGAACCTTATCTCACACTTCAGATTTGGGCTTACAACTTCCCGTTGGGTGCCTCTACCTGCTATCCTTCCCTTTGGAACATCAAGGCCAATGGTCCAAAATAAGATCGAATGGCCATCTCGCAACTCTCCTTCCTCATCCCCCAACCACACAGCCTCCAGCTCCAGCATTTCCTAGCTCGTGTATCCCGACTCAGAAACCTGGGAATCCTCCTCCTATGTCCTTCTCATCAAACCCCTCCATCCAACGAGTCTCAATTTTAACATTTTGTTTTTAGCCTAAAATTCTCTCTCCAGTATAGCCCTGATCCCCTAATTGCCTATTTACACTTTCAAGGTCTCAGACAGTTGTCATCTCTCCTAACTGTCCTATTCATCTTGGATCTTAACCTTCAAATGCATCCTTCACATTTTACCAGGCTACTCTTCTTAGAATTTATCAATGGCTTCCGATCACTAAGTGGCTATTTCTGAATGAGGAATATATTGGAGTCTTTTTGGAAGGCAGTCCGTAGACGGTATTTAAATCTACACATCTTCCTAAGCTACTTCCATTGCTACTTGAGGCACAAATGTGGCCTATCCTTCCAATGTTCTGGAGTTGAAATGTGTAGATTTCATAGGGGCATAAGTTACATCCCAAGTTCTTGGGCACTGTAAGAAAGACCCTCAGTGATCTGAAGGTCTACTGCCTTGTACTCTTCCGCTTTTTCTTTACCTGCCTTCCGTGGGCTCCAGCACTCCTGAGCGATACACGGAGCTGTTCGACGCCTCGGCACCTTTATAAATTCTATTCCTTGTGTTTGAAATCCCAGGGGCAAACTCCTGTTCACCCTTTAACATCTTGATCAGATGTCAGGTCTTCTCCGAAGCCTTCCCTCATTCCCCAGACTTGTTTCATTCTCATTATTAAATCAGTTCCCTCTACGTGTTTCTATCATTCTTTTTTTCCTATCGTATTAAAATTACGTGTTTGTACACTCTGCTTCCCACACTAGGCTATTTCTTAAGAGCTGTGTACTTTTGTATCTTCAGATCTTAATGTTGGCACACAGCTGGTGCTCCATAAATCTTTGTGAAAGTAAGCTGAGCTGAGCTTTTCCACGGCTCACCAGGCTCTCGTCTGCATCAACCCCTTTATGGTATATATTCTTTTACCCACCCACTCTTGAAACTGTTTCTCCTTCTTTGGTGCCTAAACTCTTCAACACACCTGCAGTTTTGCCTGTTACCCTCCTTTCTGAATCCCAGTTGAATCCGTATTTACTTGGTAAGATGGTGAGTCCAACTATCATTATAGCCAGACTTTCACGTTTCTATTTGTCTTTCCGAGCTTGCCTACTTGATACTGCGCGAGTCGATTTCACTGCTCGACAGACTCCTTCAAGCTTTCCATCGCATTCTGCCTCTGCCACTAAGACACAGGGAGCCGTTTTAGGTATGGAACTTATGTCGATATCATGGGGCATCACCCAGAAATGTTCTGAGGTCTGAGAAGAAGCCTGTCTTTCATGTCGGTGACTAATGTGTGAAGCACTTGCCAGCGATGGGCCCTTCAATACATGAGGCTTGCTAGTCAAAGTTGGTCCCTGAATCAGCATCACTGGGAGCTTGGAAATCAGGATCTTCAGCCGTACCCCAATTCTACTAAATCAGAAAGGCTGTGCCTATTCAAGTTTACAAAACGACTAGGCGAAGGTACCAGACCACCTGATCTGCCATTCATAGTCCAATAGTAGGAGCTAGTTCCAAGGAAGGTGGGAGTGAGATGAATGGCCTGGGGTATTAGAGCCAGGTAGTCCTATTTTGGATTCCAGCTGTACCCCTGAGAAGCTATGGCGCTCTGGCCTAGGCAAGTTGCTCCCCTCTCTTATTCTCATTTGTCAAATGGCGGAAAAAAGCACTTGACAACCTGCAGGACAGCTGTGAGAATGAAGTGATGGTAGAAGTCAAGGGCCTAGCACAGAACACATCAGCAGCAGACAACTGACACTGTGTGTCCCTTACCTAGAGGGAGTTAACTCTGGCTACCCAAATTCAAGCCCTCAGAAGAGTTTGAGCAGATGGAAACTAGACCATACTATTTTCCCTTTGGGCAGATTCAAAATCCAAAGTATTTCCTCAGACGTTTAAACAACAACAACAACAACAACAACCCACTTTACCTGTAAAGGCTAACGGTTTCAGTGCTATTTAGAATCACAAAAGGCTCTTTCTTTCCCATTTAAGATTGTCTACCAAGTCAGGCTTCGTGGTGTAACAGGGAGATGTTAAGCCCTGCCTTTCCCTCTGTGAGGGGCAGGCTGTGTCCGGCTGTGCCCCCACCCACATCAGCCATGATGTGATGGTACGGGCATCGAAGGGGAGGGCTACGGCTCATGAGTTTGGTGAGGAGCGCAGAGAACGCACAGCCACCTTGGAGGTACTCTACCTCCGAAAATTAGGAGTTCAGTTCTAGAGTAATGGGAGGGTTCCAAGGCCCACAAGGTTTCTCTTGTGAGATCTCAATTCCACCTCGGCTCTGGGAACCTTCTCCAATTACCTAGGAGTGCCCTGGTTCTCTAAATCCTGCTCTACCAAAAAGCCCCCTTGCTCAGCATTCAGGAGCCGCAGGTCAAGGTGAGTCTACAGTTCTGCCCATTTGAAGACGGCCCCTGAGGAATCTTGGAGCTAACCCAGGTGTGGGTGTAGGTCTACAGAGCCCTGTGGTTGTTCAGTGCCAGGGGGGTACAGAAAAGTTTCATCAGCCTGCAGGTAATCCAGTCACTGTCCCCGGTTTCCTGTTCTCCAATCATCTATCAGGACTCATCATGAAGGGAGAAACGAGGAGTCTTATCAGGTTGAGTGTCCATCCTCTAGATGATACAGTTTGTGGTTCAGAACTCATACATGTCACTCCTTGTTTTTCTTCAACTTTATTTTAATAGGAGCGTTGGAACCTCTGGACTATTTATAGGCTATTAATCTTACGATACATTTTTTGGGGTGTTCATTTGTCAAATATTCCTGATACTCACTCCTGGGTTTCGAGATGGATTGTATACACGCTAGGAACATAACATTTTCTTATACAGCTTTATGTCCTCCATTAACAAAAAGGATATTTCTAGCCCATACTTTACCTGCATAACCATGTTTTCTACATACTCACTTAGTTAGGATATGAACAACCATCTATTATCCTAATCTTTTATTTAACCAAGGATTTCTAACAATTTACAAAATATGTATGCGTTCGGTTGCTCAAGACCGAATGGGACACTGGCCTTGACTGTGGGACTACAAAAGATGAAAAATGTAGTGTCCCTGTTCTTAAGTTTCTGCCAGTCCAATGACAGCCTTCCCATTACTTTCAAACATGGGATATAAAACATGTTTTGAAATTCCCACCCTGAGCCAATAAAAAGTGCATGATGTAAACGTCTCCTAGCTGATAATCTGTCCGTCGGGTAAGATGTTACTCGTTTCCAATCCTTGGAAAAGGTAATGGGAAAATTAACTTCACTAGGCTTGGAAGGTCCTTGAGCTTGACCACAAGCTCACTGTCTTAGTCACCGGTGTATCAGCGATGACTCAACTTCCTGATAAGTGTTGTTGAATGAATGCACCTGTGAGATATTATGCCATTTCCTGTGTAAATACAGATACAACATATAGTCTGTTCGACCGATGCATTTGCTTTGCCAACTACAAAGCAAGGCAGTATTTATCAGGTGCAGGGTTATGAAAGCCCTTTTGTAAATGTTACAGTAAGGAGTCACCCATCAAACCTGAACAGCTAGATCCAGAGTCACCAGGTCTGTGGCTTCAGAAGCCACCTACACTGCTCACCTGAGGAGAAGCTGGACAGAGAAGACCGTGCATCACCATGCTCTGGGATTCGCAGGAACCCACAAAACTCCGGAAGCAATCTCTTTGCAATACAGGTCCTTCTCGGTGATGGCAGATGTACCTTTCTAGAGGTGGCTGTCCCACTCTGGCCACCTCTTCTGGGCCTGACTAAACCTTCCCCTTCTCCCCTTCCCTCCCACCACAAGGTAAGAGAGAGCAAGAGATGTGCATCCATTCTCCCCTGGAGCTCTTCAGCTGGTCCCTGCTTCCCCTTGTGATAACATAGAAAACATGGTTTCCCTCTGGACCCCAAGAGCCTAAATGGTCGTCTTCTCACATCACCACCCCCCCCAGTACTAACCAGGACTACACCTGTTGATCAAGACACCTGCCTCTACTTCACCTTCATGGGAGCAGGTTTTGAGGTTGCCTCTGAGAGAACTCCAGGGGCTTTGTGTCACTGCGCCTGAGTGAGAGCGGGCTAGGGCAGTGAGGGACAGAAGGGGCCACGCTGAGGAAGTTCTCCACAGTGGTTGCCAGCTGAGCTTCCAGTCTGTCTGAAAATGCCTCATCTTGGTTCTGTCCTGCAGTCATGATATTGAAGAAGACAGGCGCTTCTTCAGTTTCAGTTGCAATGAGGAGAAAGTGAGGCTCTCTCCCCAACCCCAGGAGAACAGGTCTTCATGAGCCTTTTTGTAATAGAACTTGGTTAGAAGGCCACACATGCAACTTCTCCGGGGCCACGTGGAATCTGGCCACAGATCAGTTGCTCAAGCCCTGGAACAAAGATGCCTCTTACCTGATGATCTAATATGGGCAACAGGATTTAGGTCTTGCCAGTCAAAAGGATGAACCAGTGCGAGGCTGCTGCAGAGGCAGAAAAGCGCATGCAATTTGGATGGCAACATCTTGGAAGCTGAGGAGTGGTTTCAGCTTAACCTTCTTCAAGGCAGGTTATTAAAAGAAAAAAAAAAAAAAAAACACATGCAATCAAGAGGACTTTAATAGGCTGACAATGAGGAGTATCAGGGAGATTAAGGCACTAGCAACATGATTTTACATACAATTATGGGAAGAAACCACCTGGAAAAAAACGGAATATGCATTTTCTGGGCCGGGTTTTTGAAAGGCATCAAGGTGGCCAAATCCTTGGGAATGCCGGATCATATCATAGCGCGTAGAAATAACACTTTGAGGCAGTCATATTAGGTTTCTGGTCACTAATTCTCTAACTCTGTAGCAGTCTAGTTTGGTTATAAAGAATAGCATCAAAATAGAATAATTGTAGCAATCACAGATGACAGTCAATAATGTCCACAGACATGTCTAGCACATTCGTAAACACCCCGGAAGTTCTGGCTAATGTTTCCGTCACAATTATAAAATGATCATATTGCTGCAGAAATGATGTTTCATTTTTGGTGATCTCTATGCCTCTTCTACACTGAAACCTTCCCCGAGGCAGCGAGGTCAGGCCTTATGTATTCTTCCCGCTGCCTACCAGGGGCCTGGCATGCCGTGGGTGTTGCATAAATGTTTACAGAATTTGTGAAGGAATGATTGTAGTCCAACACGTGGTATATTAGACTCATGATAATAACAAATGATATTACAACTGGGTGCTATGCTAACATCTTATTAGCAAAAAGCCTATCTTGTAGTTGTGCATCATCTTTACCTTCTAGAACTTCTCCCTTCATAAAACTGAATTGTTTCCTCACTGGTAGTAACTTGCTAACAGCCTTTTGTTTTCAGATGTATTTCTATGCTTGAATACATGCATAGAATACATACATAGCTATAAATACACACATGCATACAAATATCAATATGTAAAACTATACTCTTAAAATTTATTTGCAGAACTTCATTTCAAGTTACCCTTTTATTTATTTATTTTAACGTTTATTTAGTTTTGAGAGAGAGAGAGAGACAGAGCATGAGCAGGGGAGGGGCAGAGAGAGAGGGAGACCCAGAATCCAAAGCAGGCTCCAGGCTCTGAGGTGTCAGTACAGAGCCTGATGCGGGGCTCGAACTCACAAGCTGTGAAATTATGACTTGAACCGAAGCCAGACGCTTAACAGACTGGGCCACTCAGGTGACCCTCAAGTTACACTTTTAATTTGATAATATGGTTAGAGTCTTTTCATATGAGTATACGGCACTATAGTTTGTCTTTTTATGTAAAATGGCACTTAGGAGTTCCTCAAAAAAGCTTGTTCACTAAACAAATGACAATATTGCCAACATTTGAAGGCTTATTATGCACCCAGCATTTTTCATAGTTTCTGGCATGTGTTTTCTTATTCAGTTGGCCCTAAAACAATCTGTGAGGGAGATTTAATCATCCCCATTGTATTGATGAGGAAATTGAGGCAAGGAAAAAACAATTTTTATATAATTTATCAGGTTGGCTAATATACATCGTATCCAGTGTGCTCTTGGGTTTCGGGAGTAGATTCTTGTGATTCAACACTTACATACAACACCCAGTGCTCATCCCAACAAGTCCCCTCCTCAATGCCCATCACCCATTTTCCCCATCCCCTTCCACCCTCACTTTGTTCTCTGGATTTAAGAGTCTCTTATGGGGTGCCTGGGTGGCTCAATCGGTTAAGTGTCCGACTTCAGCTCAGATCATGATCTCACAGTTCGTGAGATCGAGCCCTGCGTCGGGCTCTGTGCTGACAGCTCAGAGCTTGGAGCCTGCTTTGGATTCTGTGTCTCCCTCTCTCTCTGCCCCTCCCCTGCTCATGCTCTGTCTCTCTCTCACAAGTAAATAAACATTAAAAAAAAATTTTTTTTAAAAGAGGGTCTCTTATGGTTTGCCTCCCTCTCTGATTATAATTTTTTTTCTTTCTCTTCCCTCATGGTCTTCTGTTAAGCTTCTCAATTTCCACATATGAGTGAAAACATATGATCCCTATCTTTCTCTGACTCATTTATTGCATTTAGCGTAAGACCCTCTAGTCCCATTCACGTTGTTGCAAATGGCATGATTTCATTCTTCTTCAGAGGCAAGGATAATTTAACCGACTTGTCCTAATCAAACAGCTAGCAAGGGCTGGAGGCGGGGCTTGAACCCAGACTATCTGAGGCCCTGCTTTTAACCACAACTTTGGGCGGCACCAATTTCTCTTCACCTTAAAATGATAATCTTCTAAAGTTAATGAACACAACGCCTATTTTAATGACGCTAATGTGTCATTAAACTTCCTGGATTGAAAAGATGGCTTAATAGGG